GCGGACCCCACAAGCTGGGCGCCCTCCTACCCGCCGCCCCGCGCCTGTGAGCCGGAGTGTCGCCCTCTCTGCCCAGCCTGGCCCTCGGGAGTTTTCCACGAGGTCCTTTGGGCCCTGTGAGCCCCGGGGGACCCAGAGAGGAGAGGGGGAGGGCCTCTCCAGCAGCTTCCACTCTGGCCTGGGGTTCTGCCCCTACGACCCCCTTGCTCCAGCAAGATCCTGTGCCTCCTGGGCCAGGCCCAGGGACCCTCCCCACCTGCACACTCTGCAGGGCAGCCACCCCCCCACACTGGGCCCTGCGACTTCCCTGCTCCGCCCTCCCCCTGATTGTGGGCAGGTGGGTGAGGTCACCCTGAGAGCCTGGGAGCCAGGGAGCTGGACTGGCCATCTAGGAGTCCAGGCCCTCAGCCCTGCCCCAGGCTGGCCTGCGTGGGCTCCCCATGGGCCCAAGCTCAACAAGCTGGCCCCCCACAACCTAGGTGGGGTGCTGCTACAGGCCTGAGCCTGCCCAGGCGGCCGGCTCTGCCCGTGGCCTCCCTGCAAGAGAGGGTGGGCATGGCTGAGGGGGCGTCCTTGGGGCAGGAGGACGTCACACCTAGGCTTCCTTGTTCCTGGAGGGCGTGTCCCACCCCCAGGCTAGTGCCGCAGGCTGTTCCCAGCCTACCACCTACCCTCTTGGGCAAGACCATCATCCTGGGCCACGCCCTTGGCAGGTCTGGAAATCTGGGTGACCTTGAACTCCTTGTGAATCCCATGAGGCAGGGCACACCCCGGAGCCTTCCGGGGGCCCATGGGGCAGGGATGGCCCCGGGCTTGGACTCGGGGAGCCCAGGTGTGCCTCCTCCCAGGATACCAGCCAGCTCCGGTCAGTTGTACCTCCTTCGGAAGGTGCACGGGGGGCAGGGGGGGGGGCGTGCTACCTGGAGGCGTTGGGAAGAAGGTGGCAACCTGTCTGGGGTGGGGGGGGGGGGCTTGGAGAGCTGTAGGAGTGGATCTCAGGGCCCTGGGAAGGAGGGTGTTGGGCTGCCAACTGCAAGGTCAGCAGTTCAAGACCGCCAGATGCTCCGTGGGCCAACAGAGGCTTTCCACTCCGGAAAGAGTCAGCATGAGTCCACAGCAGTGGGTTTGGTTTGGGGGGGTTGGTAGCATTGTGGGTCAGGCAAGGGACAGCTACCCAGCAAGTTACCAATTCAAACCCACCAGCCTTTTGCTAAGGGAGGACAGGCCAGGAAAGGCCTGCTGCTTCAGAAACCGTGTACTAGGTTGCCTGATGGCCATGGAAGGTTGAGGCGACATGCAGGGTGGCCCAGAGAGTTAGAGCCTGAACAGTGGAGCCTGGGATGGTGAGGGCCAGCCCCCTGGGTGGCCAGGAGGGGGTCTTGGAGGCTGACGGCGTAGCCTAGAGTTAGAGACCTCAGCAGCTGGGCCCCATGACACCCCGTGCAGGGCAAAGAACCCCCGGGCTGCTCACTGAGGAGGGGCTGGGGCTGGACCGGCTTCCGGGTGCCGGCGGTGGCTGGGAGTCTTTTGGCTCCTTCCAAAGGAAGGCTGAGGGTTTGAGGCCACACAGAGGTGCCTGGGAAGAGAGGGCCGGTGACCGGCTCCCAAACGCTGGGCCGTTGGAATGAGGGGGAGGCCGGTTCTGCCCAGGCCACATGATCCAGGACTGCACAGCAATGTGGGTGGCCTGGCTGGCTGCACCACTGGGAGGAAGCCAGGCTGGATGCAGGGTAGGAATGAGGGGGCCCACAGGGGATTCCCAGCCTCTGGCCTGGGCAGCTGGGTGGTGTGCTGTTGGGCAGCTCCAATGGAAAGCAGGCCTGTAAGTTGCTGTGCAAAGTTGGGGTGTGGCCAGGCAGAACCGGGGTGCTGTAGCATCCCCATGCAGACGCTGTGTGACCGCTCCGAGTCTCTTCCCACAGGATCCCGCTGCACAAGTTCAAGAGCGTCCGCCGCACTCTGTCTGAGATGGGTGGCCCGGTGGAGAACCTCCTCTCCAAGTACCCCATGTCCAAGTACTCCCAGGGGATGCCACCCGTGACTGGGGGCCCTGTGCCAGAGATGCTCAAGAACTACATGGATGTGAGTGCCGGGGGCTCACAAGCCCATGGTTTGGGGTCTTTGCCCCTTCAGCAGGCGTTGTGGGGCAGGGGCCCAATTCCCAGGCTGGGCCCTGCAGCTCCTTCCCCTCCCCAGCAGGGTGCCGACTCTGAGTGCCTAGGCTGTTGCCCAGCTATTGGTGGGCTCGAGGGGGTGGGTGGGGGTGGGGAGCACCAGGCTGATATGCTCAGAGAGGGAACTCAGACTGGCTTCCACTTGCCTGGTCCAGTTCTGTGGGGATGAGTCCTGGGCCAGAGCCCAGGACCTCTGGGTTGCCCCTAACCCTAGTCTCTGGCAGCCCCCGGCTGCCCTCCATTCCTGGTCCCCTGTGGTCTGCCAAGGGAAGGACAGGTGTTGTGCCCTCTACCCCACTTGGCTAGAGTGCAGAGGGCCACCCCAACCTTGGTTGGGGACATGGCATGTGACTGGGATGATGGGAGAGGAGGGGGCCAACAGACCCGCTCCTGTCCCGCCCCTCCCACTCTGCGCTTGCACACACGGCCAGTGAGGGATTTGCTGAGTTATGCCCAGGGCCACCCCGCCCCCGCCCTGTCTGGACACTGCCTTTGGCTCCTGACTCAGGAACTGCTGAGCAAGTCCCGCGATAGCGTTTTGCTCCAGGGCGCCACCCCCCCACCCCCCGTCGGGCCCAGCACAGAAGGGAAATGGAGGCCCAGCCAGAGCGGGCAAGGCTGTCCCGGAAGCCTCCTGGAAGAGGGTGGCCCCCACCCACCCCACCCTGAGAGTACACTATTCGGGGGACCTGGAAGGCCCTGTTCCTGGATCAGGACCTGCCCCTCCCCATCCCGCCTGGCCACTGAAGACTCCTCCCCTCCAGGCCCAGTACTACGGGGAGATCGGCATCGGGACACCCCCCCAGTGCTTCACGGTCGTCTTTGACACGGGGTCCTCTAACCTGTGGGTCCCCTCTTCCCACTGCAAACCGCTGGACTTCGCCTGCTGTAAGTGCCCCGGGCCCCTGGGCATTGACCTGGGCAGAGAGGAGCCCCTCAGGATGGGCTGTGCTGGGCCTGCCCCTTGTGCCCCACCCCTACTTCCTCGGACTCAGCTGTAGGTACCTGCCCAGGCCCCCGACCCCCAGCCACATGGGATATCCACCCTTTGGGCTGTCCATTTCATTCTCTCCATCAGGGTGGCTCCCGCTGGGGGACGGGCTGGGTGGGTACCAAGTGGACCCATCCTCTGCCCGCCCACAGGGTTCCACCACAGGTACCACAGCTCCAAGTCCAGCACGTACGTGAAGAATGGCACCACCTTCAACATCCACTACGGCTCGGGCAGCCTCTCGGGCTACCTCAGCCAGGACAGCGTGTCGGTGAGCCTGCAGGGCTACCCAGGCTGTCCAGGGCCGGGGCTTGGTCCCAGGGGATGCCCTCCTGGGACGGGGTGTTGTGGCTGGAGCAGAGGGCTCAGGAGGGAGGGGCTGGGCTGGGGACTGACCCCCCCACCCCAAAAGGGCTTGGGGTTCCCAAGGCATGGTTTACCCCAGCTAAGGAGCCAGGCTTGATGAGGGACAGAAAGAGGGCCCCTCTTGGGTGGACAGATCCAAGGGGAAACTGGAGAGGCCGCTTCCTGGAGGAGTCCGCACAGGCAGAGGTCCTGGATGCCTGGGATTTGGGAAGGTGCTGAGCTGACTCCTGCCCGAGGCTGCTGGTTAAGGGCAATGTGGAGGGCCCCTGGGTGAGAGGGTGTCCAGGCTGGGCGCACACGCCCACCACAGGCTCTGTGTGGCTCTGGTCCCCTTGGGCACAAGAGACCCTCCCAGAGGCATGCTTGGTGCGGTGGCCCCCTGCCTGTCGGTCCCCTGTCTGTCCCTTTCCTCTCTGCAGCCCAGGCCTACTCTGGTTTCTGCTGGGAGGGAGCCAGGTATTGTCCACACTGCCCCCCTCTTCCCTCCCCAGGGTGTGGGCGCCAAATGGCCCACCCACTCCACATCCTGCCCTGCCTCCTTGTCTACAGCCTCAGCCCTGAGTCTGATAGGGCAAGACTGGGTGGTAGGGGTGGGGGTGGGTGGTGGGTGGCCTGCAGGTGTGGCTGCCCGCCCGGGCACAGGGCAGAAGTGACACAGAGGCTCTGCTCCACGCCCCCCTCCCCCACATAGCTGGCCTGTGACCCCGTGTGGCCCCACAGGTGCCCTGCAACGTGGATGGTGGAGGAGGCATCCAGGTAGAGCGACAGACCTTTGGCGAGGCCACCAAGCAGCCAGGGATCACCTTCATCGCAGCCAGGTTCGACGGCATCCTGGGCATGGCGTACCCCCTCATCTCTGTCAACGATGTGGTGCCCGTCTTTGACAACCTCATGTCCCAGAAGCTTGTGGAAAAAAACATATTCTCCTTCTACCTGAACAGGTACGCCGGGCCTGCCGACCGGTGCTCTGCGCACAGCCCGCCTTTCACAGGGAGAATCGGGGGACAGGGAAGGGCCAGCCTGGCTGCAGGAGGGGCCCATGGTGCCCGCCCATTTCAGGCCACCCTCCCCAGCCCTGAGTGCCCCCAGCTGATCTGCAAAGGTCCCCCTTTCTGACAGGCGCAGGCCTGGGCCTCACAGAGGCTCCTGAGTGCCTCTGGCTACCTTCTTGGTCAGGCTGCCCTCTTAGACTGTTGGCTGCTCGCTGGGGGCTGGGCGAGGTCCAGGGGGACAGGGAGGTGTGAGTTTGGGTTGGGGCTGGTGGGAAGTGACCCCAGAAGACCCCATCCCTCACAGGAAGTGCAGTCAAGTTAGGGGAACCTGTGTGTGGCGAGCTGTGGAGCCGAAGTCCAGGAAGCGGCAGCCAGGCGTCCCCACTGGGGCAGGGAGGCATAGGCAGCAGTGTGGTGGAGGGTGGGGTGGTGCCGGGGTCAGCTCAGGTTTCAGCAGCAAAGGTGTCTGGGTCCCTGGCAGGAGGAGAGGTTTGGGAAGAGGCTCCTCCCACCCAGGGTCACCAGGCATTGCCTGAGAGGCTTAACACCTCCCACCCACACCACCCCCAGCCCTTCCTGCTGGTTCAGCCTCAGCAGGGACTGCACCAGAGGCTGTGGTAGGGAGGGGCTGGAAGCAGAGAGGAGGGGCTGAAGCCCCAGGGAGACAGAATGATAGATGTTGGAATCCCCCAACCCTGATCCGGGCCCCAAGACCTGAAGCTGGCTCCTCCCTTCCAGAGACCCAACGGCGCAGCCCGGGGGTGAGCTGATGCTGGGCGGGATGGACTCCAAGTACTTCCAGGGTTCCATGACCTACCTCAACGTCACCCGCAAGGCATACTGGCAGATCCACATGGACAAGTGAGTCGAACGGGCCGGACCAGCATGCCAGGCCAGAACCCCCTCCCCCAGCCATGGGCTCGTCCCCATGGCTGCCCACCCAGGTGCCAGGTTAGGCACCGCACACTTCGCTCGTTCTGGGGCCATGGGCTCTCCCCCTGGGGGACTGGGTGCCAGGGCCCCGGCGACGCCTCCTGTCCTTTGCAGGCTGGAGGTGGGCAGCGAATTGACCCTGTGTAAGGGCGGCTGTGAGGCCATCGTGGACACAGGCACCTCCCTGATGGTGGGCCCCGTGGAAGAGGTCGAGGAGCTGCAGAAGGCCCTGGGGGCCGTGCCGCTGATCCAAGGCGAGGTGAGCCCTGGGCCGGAGAGGATGTCCCCCCTGGGCCCTCAGGACCCCTGCCCATCATCACGGTGCCCCCTCCCCACAGTACATGATCCCCTGTGAGAAGATCTCCAGTCTGCCTGACATCGTCCTGTCTCTGGGGAACAAACCCTACACCCTCTCGCCCGAGGCCTACGTTCTCAAGGTGAGGCAATGGGCCCTGGCAGGTGTCCCGTGGCTGGACGGTAGGGGGGCGGGGCATTGGACCTACAGTTGTCCCAGGCGGGAAGACTGAGCAAGGTCATGGGTCTGTGGATGGAGGGTTGGGGCCTGGTGGGCTGACCACAGTGGCCCACAGGTGTCCCAGGCCGGGAAGACCATCTGCCTGAGCGGGTTCATGGGCATGGACATCCCCCCGCCGGGGGGCCCACTCTGGATCTTTGGCGACGTGTTTATCGGCAGCTACTACACTGTCTTCGACCGTGATAACAACGCTGTGGGCTTTGCTGAGGCCACCAAGGTCTAGTGCCCCCCCCCCAACCCCCCGGGGCCACCACTCTTCATCCTTTGGGCTCTACAACTGACCTTCACAGGCCCTGTTCGCTCGGTCTGTCCGTCCCTCTGTCCGATGGAGGGGCTGGAGCATGCACCTGCCTCACTAACGTGGAGGCACAGCCAGGGCTCAACACGGACCCCTGCCTACCCTACAGCCCCCTGCTACCCAGCTGGGCCCCCCAGCGGCCCCTTCCTCCTTCAAAGAAGCCCACCCTGCCTAAGGGTCCTTCCGCCCCAGCTCTGCTGCCCTCTGCACCCCAGGAAGGGTGAGGGAGGGGACCAAGCCTGCAAGGAGGTCTTGGGGGAAAGCGGACCTGACCCCTGGGGTGGGGCTGGGAGGCTGGAAGCTGGGCCGGCCGCCGTGGCTGGCCCCCGAACGGATGAGACAATACAACTGTCCAGCCTCTCTCTGTGTTGGTGTGTTTGTGCTTGGAGGGCAGATTTCTAAAGGGCTATAGGGCTGTGGGCTGACTGCTTACCGCATGGGAGGGGCCGCAGTTGCCCTGGCTGGCTGGGCCCCGCCGTCACAGGAGTGGCTCCAGACCAGGCAGGCCATGAGTGGTGTCAGTGTGTGGCTGTGGCCTGGGAGACAGTGGCAGCGGCCGGGTTCCAGCAGAGCCAGTAGGGATGGCCAGGCATGCCTTCTCAGGGTGAGCAAGCCCTCCAGTGTCCCCAGTAGGTCCTGCCCTCAGGAGGTCTAAGAAGAGCACCTTGCTCAACGGGCCTCCTGTCCCCCACTGCCACCCCCATTGAAGGCCCTTGCTGGTTCTGGACTAAGGGGTGCAGGTCCCTGGGCCTAGGGGGCAGGGGGCTGTCCCTGCTGGAGGTGGCACCGCGTTGGTGGGGTTTCAGAGGTGAGTAGGAGTTTGTGAGCCAGCACAGGGGTCAGGGCAGGCGGAAGCACCTGCTTCTGATCAGCCTGCAGGACACCGGGGCGCTGCTGTGGGTCCCTGGCCTGGCAGGCCTGCAACCCAGCCTTGTCCCCCGGACGCCATCTTGGGCGCATTTACCAGAGTCCCCAGGAGAGCTGGTGTCCTCTGCGCCTGTAATCCGAGCAGGGGCTGGCCGAGCACTGCAGGGCTGGCCGGGCTTCTGGGGATGAGCGCTTTCCAGCCGAGGGCACCGCCAGGCCCCAGGCAGAGCCAGCCAGCACCCCTGTCCGCTCTCTCTGCACTCCACCTCTGCTGCAGGCCTCTTGGTGCCCCTCACCCGCCAAGCCCGGAGCTGCCTGAACTTGGGGCCTCACCTCTGACCTGGATGGGGCCCTCAGGCAGGTTGCTGAAATTACCTACCCAGAGCCCCTCAGCCCAGATGATGGCTGGCTTCAAATCCAGCCCTCAGGGTCTTAGCTGGTGCCCTGTGCCTGGCACTCGGGGGGCTGGTAGCCAAGCCAGGGGTTCTCTGCCCCCGCCGCCCTCCGAGTCATCCAGGAACAGGTGACTCCTGGGTGGGGGTACCAGCTCCTAGGTGGGGGCCTCAGAGACAGTTTCCTGGGCAGAGAGGGACCAGATTCCTCCCAGTCTGAGCACCCCGGCCCAACCTCCTTGGTTCTCAGGGTCTCTTGGGAGCCCTTGCAGAGGTGCCAGCTGCCCAGAGCAGAGGACAGGTGAGGGCTGAGGGTGAGTGCAGGCCGGGTCACCTTGGGTGCATGCCCACCTCTCAACAGGCTGGGAACTGGGCGGTGGGAGCTGTGGTGGACAGGATGCTAGTTGCCTGGAGCTTGGGGACCCCCTACCCCCCATACACCCCCTTTGTTAAGGCCCCTTGTCAGCATCACTGACGGTGGCCATTGACTTGGGGTTCCTGGCAGGGCTGGGAATGACAGGGTCAGGTGGGGGAACGGTGTTTGTGTGTGTGGGGGCTGCATGGGAGTGGTAGGGGTCTGTGGAGGACCAGGGGCTCTGGAGGAGAGTGGTGGCATTGTAGGACGGGGGGCACTTTGAGAGAAACAGGGTTCAAGGGAGAGGGGCTCTGAACAGAGGCAGGCCTTAGAAGTTGGACTGGGACATGAGGGGTGGGGTGGGGGGTATTCACTGCCAGGCTGAGGTCCAGCTTCCAGAGGGGCTCAGGGTGGCCAGGAGCCGCACTGGGTGCTCGGGAGCTCTTGGAAGAGGGGTACTCGGAGATATGGAGGGGCTGCTGGGGTCTTGGCAGGGAGATTGCCAGGGGCTGGAGCAGTGGGCTGGCCTCTCATGGAGGGAAGATGGGGACTTCTGAGGGATGGGTGGCAGGGGCAGCTGGTGAGGACCAGAACATCTTCAGGGCAGGAGCCTCCGTGTTTGGGCCGGGGCTTGTGACCACCTGGGCCTGGCACTGGGGGGACTCAGTGAGGTGGGGGCCGGTGGAGGCCACAACTCTGAGACTGGACTTTGTGAGAGGGGTTAGTGGGGGCTCAGAGGCTTCAGGACCCGTTTAGAGGCGTCAGATTCAGGGAGAGACCCCAGGGGAGCACAGGCCGGGAAGGGTCTGGTCTCTGGGCTGGAGCTGGGGGTCAGAACTGGAGTTTAATTCAGTGGGGCCTGGGAGGTGCCTCCCCCATCCTGGGGGGAGCGAGGAGACGGTTCCTGGGGGTGGGTTAGGCACAGGAGTGGGTACAGATGCTCTGTAGATGTGGCTAGAACTTGGTGAGGGGGGCAGCGGTCTTGGGCAGCTGAGGAGAGCTTGGTTGGGGGTCC